GCGCACGAAGCCCCGCGGCTCCGGATCTGCGCCCCCCGGCGGCCGGCGCGGGTCCGGAGTGGTACCTGCAGGGGCGAACGTGCGCGCGGGGCCCGGGAGGGCTCGGAACTCTGCAAGTGGCGAGCCTGGGGACGTCGGCTCCGGGATGGGCCCTGATCCCGCGGCACCGACTGGTCCCGACCGGGCGCGAGTCCCGGCCGTCGGGGAGCCCGAGACCGCGCAGCAGGAGCGGAGGCTTACGTCTGGGACCGGCGAGGCCGAGCGCTCCTTCCAGCCGCCGGTCGCCTGCGACGCGGGCGCACACAGGAAGCCATCGAACCCCAAGGGGCTGCCTCGGCGGGCGCGGGCGGGCGCCTCCGCAGGGGCCGGCGCGCAGCCCAGTCCGCTCCGTGCGTGGAGGGCGCCGGGCGGAAGGGCGACTCTGCAGGAGAGGTGGAAGCGCGCCAGGCGAGGGGAGCCGGGTCTGCGGACCGAGCAGGCTCGGTCGCCGAAGGAAACCCTGCTCATGACCCTGGGAGCGTCCCGGACGCTTGGCGACCTGCGTGGGGGACCGTGCGCTCCGGGAACGAGGTGTAGCGCGCCGAGCGCAGGACGCGACAGCCAGCGCTCACCGACGGGCGCGGAAGAAAGTGGCACCCTGAGGGAGGAGCGGACGGGGACGGGAGGGCTTGACCCTGAAATCTCCAAGGCTCAGGGCCATCCGACCTGTCCGCGAGGAGCGCGGCTCCGGGGCTTACCGGCTTCTTGCTGCGCGGCCGAGCTCCTCTGGGGCGAGGGCCGGGGACTGCTTGGTGAAGAACATGGCCCGCGACTACGCTACCCACTCCTGTCCTGGGCGCTCTTCTCCGCTCTCCGCGTCCCTGCTAGAGGCACCACGGCGCCTGCCTTCTCACTCAGAAAGCGACAAGTTGAACTTCAAGGGACAGGGGCCCCACATTTTGTCTGCGCGAGAGCCCCCCTCCCCCCGCGAACCACTCCCTCCCTGCACGGTCTCTGGGTCCCACCCACAATAACCCTTAGTGACAGAGCCTCAAGTCCCTACCTCTGTGCTTACAAAGGGGCAGATGGAAAGGCAAGGGTCTGCTGGTCTCCCCAAGAACTTCCATTAGGAATGGCAGCAGAGAAGAACAGGGGGGCTAAGGCCGGCTGCGGGAGAGGGTGCCAAAGAGTCCCTTTCCTCCAACTTCTTATCACAGCCTAGACCAAATTCTTTCAACCAGACGTTAGCCAAACAATTACCAAAATACTCACAGGCTCTGGCAGTGGAAGCCGGGGTTCGTTACCTCGGAAAGGGTTAACCTTGGGTGGGGACAGTATTCGTGTGAGGCAATGGAAACGTATCCCTGTGGTGGTTAGTGGGGAACTGCTCTTGCAAGACTGTCTGAGCCTTTGCGGCGACCTGCCCCTGCGGACCTGGCTCCAGATTTCCTGCGAGAACCCCCAGGCTCACCGTGGGGCGCACCAGTCCCCGCCTTCCAGGCATTCCCACTCGCTCCCGCCCCAGAGCAGCCTGGAGGAACCCGGGGGACCGCAGCCTAATGAGGGTGCAGCCCTTGGAGCCCAGGACAGTCGTCAGAAGTTCGGTGAAGTCACTTTACAAGCTAAGTGATGTATATACCGATCGGATGTGTAAGATGAATTAAAGTGAAGTTAAACTAAAAGTTTGGTGATAAAGGAGAGAAAGATGGCATTGACGACTTGCTCAGAAGGTTTTTTAATAAATTCATTTATTTAGAGGAGGCCACGGAAGGTCAACAAGACATGTAGGGGCACCTGCTCCTTGAGTGTTAATGCTGGGAGGAAGGTGGGCGTGGGGATCAGTGTTATTTCTGAGCTGGGACATAGGAACAGCGCGTGTGCACGGCGAGGTGGCTGGTGCATAGATTCCATGCGATTTTACCATCTGATCCGGAATCCGGTACCTGGCAAGGCCATCACCCTTGCTCGCGGGTGAGCTCCGCGTCTGTGTGTGTGTGTGTGTGTGTGTGTGTGTGTGTGTGCACTCCACGCGCATTCGCTGTCTCGCTTCTCCAACCACTTTGGGGGTGGGGGGGGGTGCAGTGGCCACCTTACTGTGGAGAGAGAAGGCAGACCCAGGGAGCCGAAGCCGCCCGCCCAGCGTTGCACAACCAGCCCAGGCTGCGCCGGCTCCCCGCAGGCGGTGTGGTTTCAGGCTGCTCGTCCTCGCGCTCGTTACTGCCTCGGTGCACGGTCCGCGGTCCGCGCCATCACTCCGGGGCACCAGCCCGGAGTCAGCCTCGGAGACTCGTCTGCGTCTCCAGCGTGGTGGTCACCTGGTCCTTCTGGGTCCCAGTCCAGGTCTGTATTAAGTGAGGAGTTCTGAAGCCCGGGTGTTTCCGGTCCTTCCCTTTCGCGACCACGCTCTGCCCTCTGCCGGACGCTCTAGGTGAGCGGTGAAATGAGGTCCCGGGGCGCGGACCTGCCCGCCCGCAGGGCCCTCTCCCCGCCACTAGAGGCGCTCCCGGAGAGCTAAGGATGCGTTCCTGGAACCTTGTAGCAGGAAAACCCGACAGTTCTAGTCAACAGTAAATGGCACCAGAATGAATATTGGGGACGGTATTCTTTCCATGAGGGTAGCGATATAAAAATGGAGCGTAAATATCTACATCTGTATTCTTTGTAATGAATTCATATAAGGAATTATGCAAATATGTCTCCTAATGTATTCAGATCTAATTTGAATATGCAGTGAGCTCACAGAAACTAAATGACTTCTTTGAATGATTCCTTTAAAAACGCTTGCCACGGGGAACCAGCAGTTAGCGTAATGGCTATGTCTCTGGACTCCCACGTAGTCGACTGCGGTTTGTGTCCCGGACCCCGTGGCTTAAAACTCACGCCGGGCGCGTGTGTGTGCGTGCCCAAGATCCCGAGAGGAGAATGGAGGAGAAGGGATTGCGGCGTGACCATCCCCCCGGGGGGTGATTTCTCGCTTTCTGTCTCTATGTCTCTCTCTGTCTGGCGAGCGCACGCGCCCTACAGTGAAAATCTCTCCAAAAAAAACGCTTGCCACGTTGGCATTTTGCCTCCAAGTGACAACCATCATTCAATTTCTTCAAATACTTAAATTTTTTGAAAAATAAACATTTCTGGCTTCTGAAATTTGTATTGTCTATTCAAACATACGGGCAACCAGTTAGATTACTTCAGACAAAAAGCACATCAAACTTAAAGTGATTTTTAAAATGAATAAATATCACTTAATATTAAATCTCTGGAAAAGGTGATTTTATAGGGGAAACTTTGGTCACATAATATTATTACAGACGGAACCAGAGCTAAGTACTACAAATGAGGGTATTGAAAACGAGAGGGGTCTTCAGGAAGCAGCTCAGCCAGGATGTCCTTGGGCAGGCGGCCGCTAAGGCAGAGGGGCTAAGGCAGAGGGGCTGTCGTGTAGCTGTTCAGTAGTCCTCATGTAGGGTTCGCTAGGTTCCCACGAATAAAATAGAACTTCCAGTCTAGGGAGACCGATTCCTTAAGCAAGCACCTGGGCACAGAAGATATGGGGAAATGCTTGAAATTATGTGGGAATGGCCTTAGGGAATGTAACATTTTTAGCTAAGATATATACACAGCCATCAGAAAGAACAGAGCAGAGACCCAGCAGGTGGCGCTATGGTTAAGACACTGGCTCCCATCTGGCCGGAGGTGTTTAAAAGACTCTGCGCTGGGTACTGGGCTGTAGGTGGCGTGGTGGTTAAGGGCGGTGGACTCCCACGTGATGGACTATGGTTCAAGTCCCAGACCTCGTGGCTTGCTTTCTCATTCTATTTCTCTGTCCCTCTCTGGTCAAATTTAAATAAATAACTAAATAAAAAGTTAAAATAATTCTTTAAAAAAATAAAAGACAGAGGGCACATGTGTGTGCATGCCCCAAATTCCCAAGAGAATGGAGAAGGGATTCAGCCTGGTTGTCCTCCAGGGGATGATCTCACTCTCACTCTTATCTCTTTGGTAAGTGCACACCCTATGGCAAAACTCTAAAAAAAAAAAAATTTTGAGAGGTTTTT